AAGTTTCCCACTTGATTATTGAAATGAATTCTCATATGTTTCCTATTTTACGTATTACATTTATTTATGGTTATATAGTAGCACCAGATGAAAATTCTAAGACCACATGAAAGAAATACAGGAGTGATTTCAAACTGACTGTGTTAATTACATGCTGTAAAAGCTCTAGCTTTCCAAGAAAAAGCAATTTCCAACTTCCAAAACCTTGCTATAATTTTCATAAAACAAAAAATCCAAGGAGAACAAAACAAAAAATCTTAAAGTTTCAGTGTACTGTTTTTGAATAATGTTATCTACAATTATAAGACAGTCCATTGAATAGAAAAAAGATTTGTTTTACATAAAGCAAGAGAGTACAAAAGCACAGCTTTTGTAATTTTGGTAATATTGCAGTTTTACAAACATATTGCATAGTATGTGTAAGAAAATAGTTCCCATCTTTTTATATATTTATATACACAAGTAAATCATTAACATGAAGGTTACAAAACAAAAATGGTGAGCAGACCTTTACTGAGTACTGATTGGAACAATATGACACTCAAACTTTGATTCAACTTACATACGCTTTACATTGAATCAGCTGATAACAATTCCATAGTCTAAGGTTGAGTTTTCTTATTTTTTTTATTTAGACAATGATTTAGAATCTAAAAAAACTCATAAAAAAATAACACATGCTGTTAACAACTGAATATCTTAAACATCCTTCATTAAATCCTTTTAGACATTTATGGCTGTATCTTCAACCCAGACTTAATAGCCCCCTGCATCTAAAATGGTTTAAAGTGAATTCTGTCATCTCGTCAAGCCACTGTTTTGCAAGCAAACCAGTATAACTTCAGCTGAAAAAGCAATGTCTTGCCATGTTTTGGAATATTCACTCTTTTGTTGCCTTAGGAATACCAAAAGATGCTCATATACATGAACAGTAATGTAATTTCACTATACTGACAAAAAATTTAAACTCTGGAAAAAAGTGAACAATCTACAGCTCAAAATGCTGCACAAATCTAAACTATGTTACAATTTCATGTTGTAATTACAACTTGTCATCTCTTCATTCCAACAGAATTAGTAGAAGCAGCAGTGTCATAGTGTTAGATATAATAGAAGTGTCAGTCTTTGGTCTTATCACTTAACCAATGAATGAACTGCAATACAAAACCATACAGCTAAGAGTGCTCAGAGAGTTTGGCTGATGCTTTTATTTTTTTTTTTTTTAAAACAAGAAAGAGACAGTATCCTATAATATCATGACACAGATATTTTTACAGAAGATTAATCTATGGCATATAATAAATACATGTAGCTAATAAGGTCTTTTCATATATTTTGTTGTTCTCATAAGGATAGCCCTGAAGAAGTCAAACAGCTGCAATACCATCTTAGTGGTTTCCATACAAACATTCTAGTACAAAAAGAAGCTTTATTTGATACATGTATTCATATACTATAAAAAACTTCAGAGGAATATTTTAGCCACTGGTTTTTTTTTTGTAAATTGCACTAATATTAATGCTTAAAAATATTTTAAGGTCTTCAATCTTTCCCTACAATTGTCACAACAGAGTGGGGTGTTAAAGGGAAACTCTTGCCTTAACCAGAATAAGAAGTGACATCTCTTTTCTAAAATACATAACCAAAATATTCAGTCAGATAAGCATTCTACCTGGAGAAACATTAACTGGGGCTTAATCATAACTTGAATGCTAGATAATATAGATGGCCAACAAAGACTGAAACAATTTGGAGACAGGGCCAGGAATCTATGAAGAAGGTCACAAAAAGAATCTGATAATTTCCTACGGCTTTGCACACAACGACCATAGTATTATAAACCAGAAATGAAATAGCACAACTACAGCTCTGTGTTTTAATATGATATTTGGATTGAGATCTTCTAGTTTCCTTCCATCTGAAATGATATTGTGGGATTATGCCATTTTTCTCATATTTTTGGAGCGTACTATAAGTGGAAGAGCTGTACTATTGAGGTTTGCACTATTGCCAGCTCCAAACGTTCAAAACCACGGTGTCTGCTTCTCCTTCCTGAAGCTGCTTACAGACTATTATTTTAGTTATTGTTAGTTTTCTAAATGTGTTGAAATCACTTTTCCAATACTCTCTGAAATCATGTGGGCTAGAAATAGTCTTTAAAATAAAAACTAGGATTTTCCTCTTCTTACAGTTTTTAATGGATTTGAAGTAAAACGTTAATCTTTTGAGACTCACCAGAATATTAAGACATTATGACAACTCATTATGCTATCTCATAGGTTGCTGAAGCTCTCAAATACTGTCTACTTCAGATTGAAGGGACTCCAAGCAAGAAAATCCTGACAGTGTAGAGCTATGTGGACTTCCTGGCTTGCATTTGTTGAGTCCAAAGTACCATCCATACATCTGCCTTGAGTTTTTGTCATACAAACTGGTAAATTATTCAAGCCTTGCTGTTAAAATGAATCTAGTGACAAAAGATATTTTTTTTCTGCCTGTCCATTCCCACCCAAGTTTGTGCAAAATTTCTAAATGTTAGGTCTTTCCATCCAGTGGGCAAAAACCTTTTTCAGATGTACTACAGGTAAGTAATAACATAAGGTGAAGAGCAAACAAATAAGAAATTCTCAACGGAAAGTTCATGACAAAGTAGCTGCAAGCCATTCTGTGGGTTTATTTGAGCAGAAGAACCAATTCTAGTCTACTTGTGTGAAATTTGTAAGAAGCCACAATTTAATTCACCAAATAGATTAGTCACTATAATTGTTTGTTCATCTTTTAAGCAACTAGTGTATGTAGGTGTGCACAGGTAATAAATACATACAGATGTGTCCTCACACAGATTTATATGCTTTTCTTCTTGAAATACTATTTATCCACATGACTTTCACACTACCATTCTATTACTTGTGTGTATAAGAAAAAGACATCTATTTCCCTATAAAGGGTATATTGTATGACTACACTTTCTAATGTTTCATTATCATCTTTTTCATTTGTATTTCTTTCTATTCCTCTTACTAAAAATCCTCAGGCTTCTAATATATTTTCTTGCAATAATTTCTAATATATTTTCTTTTCAAGTGAAATAATAAAATTCTCAAATAAATAACAAATCAGCTGTTAACGGCCTTCCTTTGAAGAGATAAAATAATAAACTTAAAATCTTCATTTAACTGGTAGAAACATGAAATACAGAATTCTTGCTATAGGGTGAAATTCACACCTCTGAAGAGGGCCAATGGAAAGGCAAGCACCAGTCAAGCCGTGGACACGTCTTGTGCTGGTCTTCTGCATAGGAGTGAATTTCACCTGAAGTGAAAACAAAATCAACCTTATTAGGTGGTAATAAAATACAAAGGTAATGACAGTATTAGTTTGCTCATTTTCATGTTTTTCTCTAAGAAAAAAATAATCGATGCGTAGAAATACGCACTTTGCGCTATCTGCCCTAACTTTAGCGTTACCCTGCAAAAGCCATCTTGGCATTGGAGATCTTACATTCAGAAGCCTCTAAAGCTACATGCTAGGTGGCGTAATTTAAAGGATAGAATTAAAAGGACACTTACCTTATGTAATCAAGCCATCTTCCACAATAGGAAACATTTTTATACTGTTTTACATTCCTGGGTTCTGCAAGTTTCAAGATACTCTTGTTAATCAATGTTGCGATACATTTACTAGCAACATACCAAAGCATTTTTTATAAGATTTCAATTACCAACCAAGCCAAACAAGTAGGAACATTGATACAAGAAAGAAATCCCACACCACACTTGTCAAAAAAGGAAGTCAGTAGTGAGACCTGAGTGCAAATGGGGCTGCACGATTTAAACACAGACCTGATAAAGTCAATGTAACATCAATGTAGTTTTTAATACTGAATGTAATTACTATGTGTTTTTATATATATGTTACCACTACTTTGAAAACCTTAGCAGCAGATGATAAACGAAAGAGAATAACAAATGTGAATGTCATACCAGTTGTTAGTGCATTGCTTCTCAGCATTACACATTACGTTAGTACTACTGTTTGTACTGTGTTCAAACGGCAGCAGTTAGACAGAGCTAGAAAATGGACAAGATATACCTTTGAAGATTTTCTCTTGTTTTTGTATTTGCCAATTATAAATACCTTGTGAAGAGCAATACACTGATCAACAAACGTGTCATCAGTATTTCCCTCTTTACCCTGTTCTTCTCTTCCAGAAACCGTATGTTCTACTGAAAGCAATCGCTTCACATGCAGTAGCCACAAAAATACTGTATAAGGCCATGTACATCTGACAAACAAGAGTAGATGTCTTTTTAACTCTGAAAGGTAATATTGCTGAGCACTTCCAAAATTTACCTAGTGTACAAAACCCTAGACTTAGTAGACAAAAAGTAACAACACACTTTTAAAGAAACCAAACTCAGGGAGGGATTCTGTCTCTTTTCGTGTTAAAAACCATTTACTGAATTTAATCATTTAGTAAAGCAAGCATCAAACAATGCTTCAAAATTTTAAAATTCAGGGATAAAAGTTTACATCCAAAAAGATGAATGGAAAATTGTGCTTTCAGACAGTAAAGTTATTTATCATACAGGGGGAACCAATTCATTTCACCATCAGATTCTGGGCAAATTTACTTATGTACTGTGTATATATATATGTGCAGTTCATATCCAGGTCCTGCAAAAATCTAAAACTATGTGCTTCACTTCATGTAGCAAAGGCACCTGTGTTATTCTCCCTTTCGGACAAAAGGTGATATTATGTTCCAGGTTTCCTGATGAAGAATACATTGATTTCTGAGTATCTCACTCCCATCTCTATGTTGAGTGGCAACACAAACCACAAGAGAAGGCAGCGCTGTATTCCTGCTTACACTGGAAGAAGTTGCTCTGCAGGCCGTTTGAAGCGTCGAACTTTTCACAAGGGAAACCGAGCAGAACTGTGAAGCAGAGGGATAGTAACAAAAGGCTATTCTGGTGTGAGGATAAATTGGAGTCATTCTAGCTCCACAAGCAGATGTTGCTACTGGATTGACATGTGGAGCCTGCTCCTGCTGGGGACAGGTAAAGTTTACCATTGGGACAGACGCAGAGCTCATAGATAGTCTGACGAGAAGCTGAAGAGCTGGGGGAGGAGGAGGAGGAGGAGGAGGAGGAGGAGGAGGAGGAAAAGGAACCCACTGGTAGATTTCCCAGGCGGATTGTATCTGCATTTAAAAATATCTACAAGAGAGGAAAAAAAAGGAGTAAATAAATTTCTTTCAGCATCGTGATGTATTTTAAAGAAGCGTTTTGAGGCAGTCATGAGTTTTTTAGAAATATTTAAAAAAAGAAATATTTTATTAGAAGTATTAGAAAGATTAAAAATATATATGAGGTATTTATTTTTAGAAACAAAAAACCTGACATTTCTTGTTTTTCACCTCTATGTAGCTGTATACCCATTAATACTCATTACTACAGTATATGTAAATACTTCACCCCACATGTTTATTCAGATACAAGCAGTGTCATAGAAAAACATTTTGACAATATTCTTGAATAGGTCGACTTTTTACTTGCACATTTTATGATTAAAATTTATTCATTCATGGCAGTAGCATATCCTTGCTCTGGAAGAATTTGTATTTTAATAAGTGTGAAGTGATATTAAAACACATTCCCCAGTGTGTTCCTGTAAGCAGCAGGAAATATGTGCTGAACTGTGCTAAATTGTAGGGGCTTAACAATAGCTACATCCAGAGAATAATTAAATAAGGATATAGAGTCAGATGCACAAAATAAAGAGCTTATTTGACCTAAATTAAGAGGAGGAAAGATTTCAGGTTAAAGTCTTATTAAGAAGGTCATCAAGCTATTCCCATTTGTTTCCCATTTGAACATTGAATATGATTAAAAAGTACTGGGTATTTTTTTAATCTCCTTCCACTGGAAATAACATGAGTCAGTTTGAAACTGTAGATACCAGTAATGTTCATGAATATGTATCAAGTTCTGCAATATTTACACTTATGTTACATTTGAAGGGTGTTGAGTAAACAATGTCATGAAATTAGGTAACTAAAGCAGGAAAAATCCATGTCTTCCACTGGCACAAACAGATGAGTTTCAAGCTGCTTAGAATTTACTTTTTCCTTATGGAAGAAATAAATGAAAGCCAAAGTAAGATTAGTCACTACCTCAGGTGCAGACTAGGAACTTCTAGGAGACAGGGAACAAATCAAAACAGTTTTAGGCCCTGCAGATAACAGTACGAAGCTTAGGAAAAAATGAGTTCCTTAAATACTTGCTAGTGTTTTTTATAAGGTATTGAAAATCAACAAAGCCAACTTGACACTAGTATATCACAATGTTGGCAGTATACGTAAAGAACCTGGGGAGATACGGCATGTCTTGCTTTTTTTTACAGGAGACAAGTATTATTGTATGATAAAATCAGCTGTAAATGGCAAAAAGCAATGCAGAAGCACTACTAAGCCCCGGCCAGAGAGAAGTGAAGGAGAGCACGCTGGGGAAAATTTAATAAGTATGGAAAAAATCCCATAGAAGAACTGATGCATTGTTGTGTTACCATTCACAGCAGCAGGATTGTAAATGACTGGGATAATCAAAGGAAATTCAGGCTGAAAGAAGCCCCAAACAATATAACCCCCTTCATTATGAGTCCTCCACCTCCCAGAGTTAGATACTATCATCAGTGGGAATTTACACTACAAGGGACAGAAAGGGAGAATCTCAGACGCACAGATGACAACTGCATGGCAATGTCTGTTTTAATCCACATCCTGACTGACAAAATAATTGATTACAAAACTAAAATGCCGCAATTTATTATCTTTGTTCTTTAATTTGTATGACAAAGGAATGATGTATTTACACACACATGCACACATTGCTGCTTTAAAAGTCCAGTATCATAGACCTGAAATAATTAGGAGTCAAACTCCCCACAGAAATAACTTAGATGGAAGAAATGTGGATGGTGTTGCGAACAATTTAATAACATTCTGCTAGAATTAAATCTGAAAAAAAAAAGATTACACATTAAAACATTCAGCTCAGCTAGGAGTAAATGTGAAATAACTATAGCAAGCATAACAAGAAAACAAAATAACAGATGGAGTAAAAAAAGAATTTCATAGCAAACTGGAAGCTAGGATTTGGTCAAATGAAAGAAGGAAACAAAGGACATAATCATCAGTCAATGGAGTGATGGGTAATAAGAAGTACTCTTTCACTTCTCTTACCAAGAATAAAAGAAATGTTAACGAGTCCACTATTAATGTAGCAATGGTGGAGTTATCGATAGTATTGCATAAAAATCCAGCAGCATTCAACAGTGTAAGCTCTATGTAAGCATAAGTGTATCTTTTACACTGAATAGTGCTCAGCATAGTTCTGTACTTGCAGAAAGATCAAGTATTGAAGTCAGAGCATGACTGTGATAAAACACTTTCAACAGTAATTCAACAGGATATTAAACAGGAGTCAGTAATGCCATATACTTTTAATCAGCAGCCTTTGATAACTTTTAACAAATAGATCTGAAAAAAAATCTGAGTGGCCTATTGGACTTTTAATACTGGTTTTCACTAAGTCTTGACAAACTTTGAAAATCAAAGAAGATAAGAAAAATAGTATTTTTGTGTGCTTTTGTTTAAAAAAGGGAAGCAAGAGATATTAGAATATTATATATGTGACAATAAAAGGCACTTCAGTGTAGAAGACATGTAAGAAAATCAAAGAACAATGGAAGATTAGCTACTTGTGCTTGACAGAGCCTGTGACTGGCCATTTTAACACTTCAGCTGCAGTGGTGATGGGGAAGGATCATGAGAACTCTGTTTAACAAAATGAAATGGATTCTGAAAGACATGTCTTGATTCAAACAAGAATTAACTCAAAAAAAATCAGAGCGCATATGTGTCAGAGATCAGACTAGATTAAAATTTCTTGAACTTTATTATCTTTTTTTCTAGAAGCTCAATATTTTTATGTGTTTGTTTACATCAGGACAGCTACGGTTCCGCAGCCCCTCATTGCAGATGTTCTGTGGTGTGCTGCTCTAAGACTTTAATCCAGTGGACCTTACTCCAGTGTACATTACCATATGATGCAGCTTGGTTATTTTGCTCATTAAATTACATGATCTTTTTAAGCATAGCTGTGCATGCTTTTCCACTGGTGCTTACAAATTTCACACTGTGATGTAGCTCAATCCAAGTTTTTCTGGTGTCATATTCCTGAGCAGTAGTTATTGAGTCATGTCCCAGCACGAATTCCAGAACATCTGGTAAGCAAGTAGATACTGGGGTACAGCGTCTGGGAAAAACTGAAGTGGCTTATTGTGGGGGTGTATCTGCTGCAGTGAGTCTAACAAGCTCTATGCCTTTGCAGAAAGCTGGGAAGGCTGTACAATTTAAACAGATTCCTATAGCTAATCCCTGAGGAAGCCTGAGATGAAGAGGATTAATAATGATGGCTTAAAGCCAGCACTAAAATCTACTCCTTACAAATGCTGTCAAGGTTATAAATAAAAGATTAAATTTACAGATGGAACATTGCTATTTATTAGTTAAGCAGGGGTTCCAAATATATCATAGTAGCCCAATACGTAAGAAATTTCAGAGGAACATAGTCCATGTCTGAGGATATACTTTCTCTCCTCCTATCATCTGCTAAAAACTGAAATCCATGGCTGAATAGTCCTCCAACATCAGTAAAACTTGAACTACTTACTGTTTTATGCCTGATGTTATGAGATGTTTAAAGGGAAGGGAAGAAGTAGCAAGACAAAAAACTGAACAGTATTATGTTCCCAGGGAACACCGTTGCTAGATGACACTAGTTAATGGAAGTGCCGTCTTTCTCTAATCTTTTGTGCTGTGAGAGGTATGAGATAAGCCATTTAATACTTCATAGGCATCAAGGCCATGCAAGCCAGTCATTCTCTTTCTGAGAGTTTCACAGCCCAGCAGATAAATGGGCAAGGATAAAACCAAAACTTTTATCCTTTCGTGAAACATTGCAGGAGACTGACTGCTAGATTACAAAATGGAAACGGCAGCAGCCATTCAGAGAGATGCTGTTTCAGAGAGCAGAGCACTGAGCAGCTTCATTCCCTCTAAATACTTCAGGTTGAGAAATCCTAGATCACCATCTTGTCTTGTGCATCTTAGTGCTGAGAAGAATATATTATCCCTATAATATTTAAAAGTAGACCTGATTTCTGACTAATTAAAGTAGCAAACTGAATCAGCCTGTAGGGCATGTGATAGGAATGGAAAAATTGTACTCTTTTTACATACATTTTTTGCTCAAGGAGATCCGCAAGTCATCTACTCATCAGACTGTGTTGTTAACCTGAACAGTGAGAGGGAAAGAAAATATAGATTATTGTGATGGTTTGATGTAGGGGGGTTCTGGTGGCAAGAGAGGGGATTTGCTCCCTGTGACTTCCCTGGTTCTGGAGCTGGATCAGACCCGGTTCTGGCCACCGGATCGGGCTCCCATCCCCCTCAGTGTTGAGCCAATCGGCGCCTCTGCGAATTGCCCTATTTAAGTTGGGACAAAGGAACTGGAAAAGATGCTTTGACCAGGAGCGAGGAGAGAAGGGAGAAGGGCGCTGCCCCCGCTCCCTGGCTTCTGGCCGGGTGGCTGCCCGCGCCGGGCCGGCGCCACCCACTGAGGATGACCACGGCAGAGCTAGCTGGGGAACTTGGGGAGCACCCCACTCCCAGGGTGCCCACTGGGCCAAGTTCACCCAGCAAGGACTAAGATCTGAGAGAAACGGCCACACCGAGACCAGGTCAGTGAGGATGGAACGGGACGAGGTGTGCTGGAGCTGAATTTCCCCTGCAACCGGTGGCAGGTGGCTCCTTCTGCAGCTAGGATGGACTTGGTGGAGCAGAGACCCACTCAGAGCCCGTGGAGAAGAAGCCCACGTCGCAGAAGAGATGCCTGAGCCTGAGGACAGTCGTGAAGCATGGGACACACGACAACGTAGAAATGCATCTAACGTCTGTGTGATGACCCACGCCGGAGTGAGTGGCAACAACTCCCTAAGAATCTGAGACTGTGGTAAAGGCCGCACTGGAGCAATCTGATGGGGAAGGATTGCATCCTGCAGGTAGGACTCACTCTGGAGAAGTCTGCGGATTTTTCCTCGTGAGTAGAGGATTCATCGGAGCAAGGGAAAAAGGGTGTAAGGACTCCTCCTCCTT